CGCGTAGAACTCGGGCTCCAGCAAGAAATTGTGGCGTCAAACTGGTTGTCGGTTGAATCATGGAGCTATTTTTTAGCTCCATGGTTGAATTGTTTTGCAATAGACATAATTTTGGAGCCTGTAGTTGTCTATGAAATGTTTCTAAGTTTTGTTGAGGATTATTCTGTAAAGAAATTGCTGAAATTATTTCATCTGTTCGTAAACGGGACGTTGTTGCTTTGACGATGGGCTACGGACGGCTGGCGTCGAAACGTTCCATTCAGATCGGATGGCGCCCTCTCGTGCCAATCCCCCCCCCCGCAAAGGTCATAGCGTCGTCAAACATTTTTGGGGGGACATTTCCATGTCAATAATGTGCTGTACACACTGGCATTTGATGGGCAATTTCGAATGCAATATTCCTCTGTCAAAGATCGGCCGGTCGATGTGAGCTACGAAATAAAGAAATTCGAGTTCAAAATCAAGTCGTTCGATTTTTGCGGCAGAGACGGTCTAGACGTTCGACGCGCGTCTTTCATGCATCTCGCGAGATCTCGCAGTTGTACGGAAAATCACCTATAGTATTGTGAACAAGTCTGTGGATGGACTGAGACTGAGCACTATCCAGTTCAATGATTGCCCCTTCAACCATTGCCCCAAGCATCTTAGATGACCGGCGTGCTCAGGTTCAGAGCTTGTTTCAACATGTACTGTTGCTTTGAAGTCCAATGATAGCCTCTAAATTAGTCATAATTGTGAAACTGCATGAGGCTCTAGGCACAGTGCTTGTGATAACCCACAATCCTATCTGGTTTCAACTAACTTGTATTGGTTGGGAAAAAATTGGTAAATGTCACTACTACAGTCATCTGTGGATATACTTCATGCAGTCTGAAAATTTACATTTATTTCAAATGTTTTTTTTCTTTCCCCGCATCGCTGAATATTTGGCATAACTCCAGAAGATGTACCTAACCTAATGCAATTTTTAAAAAAATTATGCTAATTTATTCATGACATAGAGTTTCTGTGCTCATGAATATTCATTAATTTCTAGGTCAATACATTCTAAAAAGGGCGATATATAAATTTTGGGGGCAACAGTGTGTGTGCATGTTATTTTGAAGTGCAAACTTTTTTAATCCATCTTTTTTTTATTTCTTGTAACAGTGACCAGTCCAGGATTTGAACTTGCGATCTCTCAGTTTCCAGGGCAGTGTCCTCAAGGTTCCCACTGCCTTTTCAAGTTAATTTTATTTTATCTCGTTAGGACGCTCGTGTACCATGCAAGTTTATCTAGTGTGATTCAAACCATCAGCATTTGTTTAGGCGTTTTTTTCATTTCCCAGGTTTGCCACGATGTAATGCGCGACCACTTCCCAGTTTCATTGTGTGTAGAATGATGTATTTCTTGTGTCACACCATGACCCAGTTTCAACCACACGGCCATGTTACACATTGTAGTTGCAATGCAATGTTGCGTGATCCAACTATATGCTCAACAAGCTAGGATTTATGCCCATTATTACAGGTATCATACATTGTCATGCGACTTGTTCCACCTTATTGGTAATGTCTTAGGTATCTTTATTGTAATTTGTATTTACTAATTCGTATATACCGTACTGAACAACCAACCCTGATTGAAGGTCATGTATTTTGTAACGTCATCCTTTCGTCTGTAGGTACGTCTTTCGGACTTATGCCCTATACAATTCTTATATAACTAAGGAAATCCCCAGCACCTGGTTGTTTCTTTGGTAGGATGGAACAAAGAAATATGCATATTAGGTGATGCGACTTCTTAGGAATATAATAGGGTTCAATCTGGTAAGGGACGACGTCAAAAGATTGATGTCGGATAAAAAACTTAATTCCTTTAGTTTTTTTCCAACCCCCCCCCCTACCCCCCACTGAAACTTAATTGATAAATATTGGTCATGGCGTCAGACTACATTCATCATTAAATACAAATTGATAATCGGACAGTAGTATTGCATAGCAGTTGGATGTCGGATGGGTGTAAAAAGAGTTTACAAATGCACCTCATTTGACGCACAGATTTACACTCGAACCAAACCATTTTTCCCTTTTCGGTTATTTCTGTCCACGATTGGATAGAAAAAAACAAACTACAAATACTCCAAGATTTTTTTTGACTTCATTAAAAAATAAAATCATTTTTGTCGGATGGAAACTTTTTGAGGTCAAAACCCCCCACCCCCAAACTAAAGGAAATAAGTTTTTTATCCGACATCGATCTTTTGACGTCATCCCTAAGCCAATAAAAGTTTAAGGATAAATCAAAATTCAATGCCAGAAATCACAATGAATTCTGGGTAATTTAGAGTGCTTGGCTAGGCTTCAGTGATGTCAATGACAGTCTTTTGAAGCGAGTGTATTGTCAGGTGTTTTGACCCAGTAGTGACTGGTACACATCAATTCTGATTTTTTTTGGGGGGGGGGGATGGAAAAACTTGTACGTAAAGTTTGGTGATGAAGAATAAAAACCCTCAGATGAAATTCAACTCCAATGAACTCCAATAATTGTACAATATTTCTCAATCATAACTTCCTGCCACATCCTCTGTGCAGCAGACAGTGAAATTCAAGTTCTTGACTGGAGTGAAATCGACAAGCCATTGTGTTGAATCACTGTCTATGCAATGTCATTTTATTCACAAGGGGACAATGCCTATATTGTGTAATGACAACATATTCCCTTATAAATAGACATGTTGGAGGTTACATCACCATGGCAATAACAACAGAAAGATAGGGAATTATTCAGAGTGAACTCATGGTAATAGCTGGTACATATATTTTATTGTATGATTTTTGACAGGTAAGAGAATCAAGCTGATATTTGTGTGGAAAGAGACTTTTATAAGCTCAACTGTAAAATATCAGTATTTGACTATCATCAACTGCTTCTAAAGGATTGTGTTCAGAAGACAGGATTGTTCACATCTTCTCAACTGGGTTGATTCCAAGTATACTGAATCCACACTCCATGACATTAGCAGTGGCTTCACATAGCAACAAGCGACTCATATTCACTTTGATAATTTCCTCTGCAAATATAATGTATAATGTTTGATATCAATCGTTGGAAGAAACAATATCATATGGAAAAGACCAATCAGAAAAAGTGAAATAACATCTCATTATGTTGAACATCTACGACAATGCACTTTTATCACACGGCAGCCATTGCTGACTAACTGCTTTCCAACGTATTAGAATTTGTATCGTTGCATGAGAGGCAACATTTAAATCAAAAAATGCTTAGAAAGAATTTTAGAGCAAATACAGCATTTAAAAATTTAACTGCAAGCAATGATCTGGGGGGGGGGGGGGGGTTCCAAGTAGCTATGGTTTAACAATTATAAATATTTAATGAAATAACGACCACATATGACTTGATATTTTGGTCATATATCTTGTCAGACAAAATTATAGCACAAGTTGCATGTTCCTATCAGCAACAGTACTTATATCACATTGATTTCAACCCCTAACGAATCAGGTTTGCGCATTATCCCAGGGCATCTATGTACCACATTTCATCAAAATCTGTTGAACGGTACTTGAGAAACAAATGAAAATGTGTAAAATGTGCTAATCAATATGCAAATTAGGTTATTAATATGCATAGATTTTTAACCCAAAACTAATCAGGTCTGTGAATAGTCATGAAGCATCTATGTACCAAGTTGAAATGTTAAGATTAGTACTTGAGATATCAGTGAAAAAGCCAAAAATTTACTAATCATTATGCAAATAAGGTAATTATTAGGTACAGATTTTTAACCAAAACTAAACAGGTCTGTGAA